AACAGAAAAGCTACTGGCCTTTCAGCGTGACCAGCTCTAGCCTTCATTAATAAGACACTGACATGAAAACGAGAGAAACTATATATCCCAAGGCTCAGAGTCCAACTAGCTTCCAGAGACAACAGGCACAGCAAGATAGCAGTAATTCATTGGAAGGAAGTAAACAAGTGGGGGATGTGCAATATTGTAAGATCGGTTCACTTTTGAAGGGTTTAACTGATGTCTGCTTTTAGATTTCAAAGGGCAAGCACTGATTTCCTTGCTTTCCCACACTAAATGCAACTACATTGATCATTTGGCTGATATCCTGGAACTGCAACAGAAAAGAGACACTGATGATAAGGTACAATGATTAATCGTACTTTTCCAAACATCATTGCCAAAAGCAGCAATAATATCTGTTTTTGTGCTCAATTCAGCCTCAAGGTTTATTTCTTACTTTTGTTTTAATGCCAAGGGGGAAAAAAACTGTGGGAGTTATTGTTCTCCTGGCATTGATTATGATAATATGCTGTATACGCCTGACATCTTTATTCGGTTTGTCATGCATCTCTATGTTTTGTTACAGCAACAAAATCTCTGACTCATGTCTCCTCTCTTTACCTCCTGATGGGCGTTTGTTTTGTTTTGGATTTTTTAATCTATAAAACAACACTGGATTAACTTACAGTTTTTCTCAGTAACTTTCTCTGTATCAGCTTGAACAGTTACCAGCAACGCTCCTCCAAACGGTTGCTTTTAATGTGCCCAGGGTGTTGACAGATTTTTTTATTATGCACCTTGGACATAAAACACTGCAAAAAGATCAGAGGTTTTTTGTTTTGGATATATGCATATTGAATATCATGTTGTATGCTCTGCATTTTAAGTTGTTTGCATTTTTATTATGTTTGGAGTTTGTGTTTCTGCTGCCTTGGCTAGGTCTCCCTTGAGAAGGTGACCTCTGTGGGACCTCCTGGTTAAATCAAGGTAAACCAATAAACGCTGGCCATGTAGTAAGCTGCGTGTCCACTAAAAGATCTTTCCACACAAGCAAGCATGTTACAGAACAATCAGAAAAACTTAGGAAAAGATATTGCAGATTTCAAATTGTAATGTTTTACACCTCACGGTGAACTCAAACGATGTTTATGTGTGTTGTTCTTTTTGCTGTTTCCCTCCACTTGGCCTTAGCACAATGTGGCAGACGGGGAGAGATGACTTGGATTCATCTCACTGTACAATCAATGAAACACAGGATCCGTTCCCACAGTGCTGACGACACAAACATGATCTTCCGCCCACACAAACAGATGCACACATCCAACTCCACTCATCAAAGTGGATGCTGCCTCATACCTACAGCAGCAATCAGACAAAGAGGTGAGGCAGGATTTCTCTTTTTTTCTGTGAATGTTGGTAACAAAAACACACTTTGCTGAAGGCTGACTTCAAAGTAGGCAGAAATAAAATCGCCAATCAGTGCTGTCCCAAAATCCCGACCCA